ACATAAAATTTGCGAAATATTGGAGGAAGGACTCAACGTTGTTCCAGAAAGATGGAGCACCGTGTCACACTGCTAGAAACACCCAAAAGTGGCCGGAAGAAAATGGTATCCAGAAGTTGCTCTGGCCGAGCCAATCTCCTGCCACGAACCTCATCGAAAACCTCTGGGCCATACTCGACCGACAAGTCAAGAAACAACAAAAAAAAACCAACTTCGAAGAGCGATCTACTCCAAGTTTTGAAGCAAGAGTGGGCGAAAATCCCACAATCTAGAATTGACGAGATGATTCTCACGATGCCCCAAAGGATCAACGAACTCCACGAAGTGAAAGGAAGATCTACTAAATATTAATTAAATTATAAATATATCAATTCATGTGAATATGACTGAAAAATTTCATTTTTTCTGAAAAGGTGATGTCTATTTACTTGTGACCACGCTGTGTATACTTCGAAAGCTAACTATTACTTCTAACATTTAATTTTGAACACATGAATCAAGACCCCTCTGATTCTTCCAATGCTGCAGAAAAAAAGTCCTAGTCTAAATAACTTCAACCAGGAATTATTCTAATACTAGTAATAGTCCGTCTCTGTACTTTTATTTAAAATTTGGTATCCTTTCAGCAGAAGGGGTGCAGTATTCTAAATTATGTCTCACCTAGTATTACACAATACTTCGTTATCTTTTTATTCGTATATTCAAAGTTACTATAATTTATAAATATACACGAAATCTTTGCTTTTTTCCTCACAACTAAATACTTAATGGAGTTCTCAAGAGTTCATTCAACAAATGTCTCTGAATCGTTAAATGCTTCTTTTTACTTGACATCAATGATCCTCTCACAGAAGTAAGTCATTAAAATTTCCATACCCCATGCATATAGCTTTAAAATAATAGAAATGTACACAACGGAATATAAAAAACCTCGTACTTACCCAGCGCGACGTGAGATACCATGTGAGTGGTCATTCTCATTTCACATTGATGGGGTTGTAACATCTAGATATTACCTATGCAGTGATTGAAGAACACTACTATAGAAATCCTGAAACTAGGTCACAGAAGCAATGTGTTTCCAAAGGTGGCAACAGGTATTATCAACTTCAAAACTGACAAAGGAATAAAGGTAACTTGAAATACGGTCAACGTAATGGTTTTATTGACTGGTCTTTGAAAATCTATACATATTCACAACAAAATAATTCAGAATCAATAATAATATTAGGTTGTCAAGAAATTAATGTCGCTTTTTTTAGATAAAAAAACCGAACAACTTGTATATCAAAACAAAACATTTAATAAATGAAATAGTCTCCATTTTTATCGATGATGCTTTTTCCTTTTACAATCAGGTTGTTAATGCCCTGATTAAAGAAATCACTTGGCTTTGAAGCAAAAAAAAAAATATGTCGATGTCCTTTTTAACACTTTCCACATTTGCATACGTTTTCCCATTAAGGTGGTGTTGCAGCGAGCAAAAAAGATGGTAATCTGATGGTGCCATATCTGGAGAATATGGTGGGTGGGGGGAGAACATCCTAACCAAACTCCATAATCTTGAGTTGCGTCAAACATGCCACATGTGGACGTGCATTGTCGTGGAGAAGAAAAACACCTTTCCGATTGACGAGTGAAGGGCTTGATTTAAACGTTCCTGTTGCTGACAATAGATATCTGCATTGACATTTCGCTGTGGATTGAGGAGCTCGAAATGAATTACGCCCTTGATGTCCCACCAAATGCAAAGCCTCACTTTCTGTGGGTAGAGTCCAGGTTTTGGGGTCGGAAGTGGTTTTTGCCATTGTTTTTGGCGTTTAATATTCGCATAGAGAATCCATTTTTCATCACTTGTGACAATTCTGTCCAAAAATGGTACACGCGCATTATGCACTAGAAGAGACGAAGCAACA